TAGCTCAGTGAAAAAATATTTTCCAAGTGACCAATACATGGTGTTACAAAATCATGCAAGCATATAAAAAAGATCCATTCAAAGTGCAAGAGAGACCAGTCAATTTTTAAAGTAACAGGATATTAACTTTATTGATAAAGTTTCAGATCCTGCATTGCAGCTGACCTTTAAGAAACCACTTGAGTTTTGGTTTGGTGGACAGGATATCCACAAATATCTCAAAAGGCTATTAAAATACTTCCTTTTCTAACTACATATTGTGTAAGGCTGGGGTTTCTTCATATACTTCGGCTACATACTGCAACAGAATGCAGAAGCAGATAAGAATTCAGCTATCTTTCATGAAGCTGGATATTAAAGAGATTTGTAAAAAATTTAAAACAATGCCACTCTTCCCATTAAATTTTTTTGTTTTGGAAAATATTTTAATAAAAAATAAGTTATGTTGACATGTAATAGGTTTATTATTATTATTATTATTATTTGTTGTTGTTGTTGTTGTTGTTGTTAATCCTCACCCAAGGATATTTTTTCCATTGCTTTTCAAAGAAAGTGGGAGGAGGAGGGAGGGAGAAGGAAGAACATCTATGTGAGAGAGACACATGGCTGCCTCCTGCTCATGCCTCCACCGGATCCGGGGATGGAGCCTACAACCAAGGTACATGCCCTTGGCCAGAATCGAACCTGTGACCCTTCAGCCCAAGGGCCGATGCTCTAACCACTGGGCCTAACCGGCTAGGGCTCCATTGATTTTTTTAGAGAGTGGGAGGGAGGGAGAAGGGAGAGAGAAAAACATCGATGTAAGAGAGACACATCAATTGGTTTCCTGCTGCCCCTGCCCTGACAGGCCAGGAATCAAACCTGCAACCCAGGCATATGAACTTGGCTGGGAGTTGAACAGTGCATCGATGTGGGGAGCCGATGCTCTAACCACTGAGACACTGGTCAGGGCTATTATTTTTATTTTTAAATTAATATTTTTAAATTTCTCAGTTTTAATTTCTAATTGTAATTAATATCAATAAATATGACTGATATAAACAAAAGCATTTTAGAGTACTCAGTAGTTTTTAAGAGTGTAGAAGGGTACTCAGACCATAAAGTTGGCAAACTAGTAGTTTAGTGCTACACACTTGAATCATCTGGAAAAATGTTAATAAAATAAGGTTGAGCCGCACCCTAGTCCAGGTAAATATGAATTTTTAAGGATGTGAGCCAGGCATCAGTCATTTTTAAAAGCTTTTATGTGTCAAGTTCAAGAATGTTTTTGGATGAGATTAACATTTAAATCAATGAATTGTGAATAAAACAAATTATTCCCCCCCAAAATAAAATAAAAGCTATGTACCAGGTGATTCTAGTGTACAGCCAGGGTTGAGAACTATAGTAATTAACTTGACTAAACCAGTTGGTGGATTAGAAGAAATTGTCTTTTCTCTGAGAGAGACACTCTTGCTTTTTATCTGAACCAATAGTGACTCCCTGACAACTACAGGAAATGTAAAGGAGCATCCACTTGTTCTTAGATGTGTTCTTGCTCAGGTTGTTATTAGAGGAGTGAAGGAAGGCACCAACACATTTGTAGAAAAATATTATAGGTATACAGCCTACAATTAAACCAACAAGCCATTTTATTTATTTCTCTTTGCTGTACATTTCTCAGCCAGGTTTTTAAAAATTCTGTATGGAAAACGTATTCTGCTGGATTTCTAATAAGTGAGGAAGTATGTTTGTTCTGTTATACTGATCTACTTAGAGCTTCTTAAACACAGGGAAAATATTTTTGGAAGAAGTTAATAAATTGAACTATTTATTAAGTGGTTGCCATGAAGCAAACTGTATTAAGTGGTGGCCATGAAACAAAATGTTGAATAGTTTAATGACCCTAAGGAAAATTACTTTTCTCTTGTTTTGTCCAGATGTGTACTTCACTGTTTTGTTTTTTTTAGCAGTTTCATTGAGATATAATATACATACCATATAAATTACCCATTGAAGTTTTAAATTTAATTATTTTTGGTATGTTCACAGAGTTGTACAACCATTGCCACAGTCAATATTCGGACACTTCAGTCACCCCAGAAAGAAACTCCTTACCCATTAGCAGTCACTCCTCATTTTCCCTTCCCTCAGCCCTAGGCAACCACAAATCTACTTTCTGTCTCTATGAATTTGCCTGTTCCTTATAAATGGAATCATACGTTTATATCTTCAGGGTTCACCCATGTTGTAGCAGGTGTCACAACTTCATTTGTTTTTATGGCTGAATAATATTCCATTGTTTGGATATACTATATTTTGTTTATCCATTCATCAGTTGATGGACATTTGGGTTATTTCTGCTTTTTGGCTATTATAAATAATACTACTATGAACATTTGTGAACAAATTTTTCTGCTAACATGTTTTTAGTTTTCTGGGACAAACCTAATATCTAATACCTACCCTAGACTTAATATTTCTTTAAAAAAATCTTGTGTTTCCCTGACAAACCTGTTCTTCCTGCACTCTTTTCCATTTACTAAATGGAAAAACCTTTTCATGTGCGTATTTGCCATCTGTATATCGTCTTTAATGAAGTGGCTGTTTAGATCTTTTGCCCATTTTTTTTTTTTCAGTGCTGTTAACTCCAAAGATTTTTTTAAATTGTTGTAAAAACTACATAACAATATTTACCATCTTAACTATTTTTAAGTGTACAACAGTAATGTTAACTATATGGACATTGTTGCACAACAGATTCCTAGAACTTTCTACTCCTGCAAAACTGAGACTCCCATTTCCCCATTCAACCCAGCCCCTGGTAACCACATTCTGCTTTCTGTTTCTCTGATTTTGACTACTTTGGATACCTCATATAATCAGAGTCATGCGGTATTTGTCCTTTTGTGACTGGCTTATTTCACTTAACAGTGTCCTCAAGGTTCGTCTGTGTTGTAGTATATGACAGGATTTTCTTCTTTTTAAGACTAATAGTACCCTATTGTATGTAGTCATTCATGCGTCAACAGATATTTAGGTTGTTCCCACCTCCTGGCTGTTGTGAATAATGCTGCAATGAACATGGGCATGAAATACCTCAAGAGCCTGGTTGCACTTATTTTGGATATATACCAAGAAGTGAATATTTGCCCATTTTTTAAACTGGGTTTTTTGTTTTCTTACTGTTGAGTTTTAAGAGTTCTGTGTATATTTTGGATACCAGTCATTTATCAGATACATGTTTTTCATATTTTTGCTTCTCTGTGGCTTGTCTTTTCATTCTCTTATCAGTATCTTTCAAAGAGCAGAAGTTTTTAATTAATGAAGTCCAACTTACTGATATTCTCTTTCATGGACTGTGCTTTTAATGTATTATTTTAGATCACCTATATTTTCTCTTAAGACGTCTTCTAGAAATTTTATACTTTTGCATTTTACATTTAGATGTAAGATTCATTTTGACTTAATTTTTGTGAAAAGTCTAAGGTCTTCCAAAACAGGAAGTGCCAGACCCAGATAACTTCACTGGTGGGTTCTACCAAACATTTAAGGAAGAAGTTTCCTATAATCTCTTTCAGAGGATAAAAGCAGAGGCAATGCCCTGGCCACTGTGGCTCAGTTGGTTGCGTGTCGTCCCATGCACCAAAAGGTTGCTGGTCCAATCTTGGTCAGGGTTCGTGCCTAGGTTGTGGGCTGCATCACCAGTAGGGAGTGTGCAGGAGGCAGGCAATCAATGTTTCACTCTCACATGGATGTTTTTCTCTTTCTCCCTCTCCCTTCCTCTCTCTAAAAATCAATAAAAATATTTTTTAAAAAGAAAGCAGAGGTAATACTTTCTAATGCATTCTATGAGGCTGGCATTGCCGTATTACAAAAACCAGGCAGACATTACAAGAAAAGAAAGCTAAAGGCCAAGGTCTCTCATAAGCATAGATGTAAAAATCCTCAACACAATATTAGCAAAGCAAATCCCCAGTAGGGAGCATGCAGGAGGCAGCCAATCAATGACTGTCTCTCATCATGGATGTTTTTCTCTCTCTCTCTCTCCTTCTCCCTTCCTCTCTTTGAACTCAATAAAAAACATTAAAGAAAAAAAGAAATGAGTTATCAGGTCATAAAAACATGGAGGAAATTTAAATGCATATTACTAAGTGAATGAAGCCAATCTGACGAGGCTTTATACTGTATGATTCCATCCTGGAAAAGGCAAAACAGTGGAAACAATAAAAAGATCAATGGTTGCTGGTGGGAGAAGATGAATAGGCAGAGTTCAGAGGATTTGGGGGGCAGTGAAAATACTCTGTAAAGTATTATAGTGATAGATGGATGTCATTATACATTTGCCCAAACTATAGAACATACAATACCAAGAGTGAACTCTAAAGTGAACTATGAACTTTGGGTAATTATGATGTGTTAGTGTAGGTTCATCCTTGGTTAAAAAAAAAAAAGTACCGCCCGGCCGGGCGTGGCTCAGCGGTTAAGCGCCGACCTAGGATCCAGGCCATCAGGGTTCGATTCCTGGTCAGGGCACATGCCCGGGTTGCGGGCTGCAGCCAATCAATGACTCTCTCATCACTGATGTTTCTATCTCTCTCTCTCCCTCTCCTTTCCTCTCTCTGAAATCAATAAAAATATATTTTAAAAAAAAAAAAGTACCAATCTGGTGAGTGATGTTGATAATGAGGGTGGCTATGCCTGTGTTGGGGCTCATTGTTTCCTAATAAAAATTGAATCTATTATTGATATGCATAACCTCTTGGGAGCATAAAAATGCCAGTGGGAAATTGGGACCTTGGCCCACCAGCCCAGTATTCTGCCTGTGACATCAAGGGTCATTTTATGGGAAAAAAGAATGGTATCTACTTAAAAGGCTATAATCTTATTTTGAAATGTACTTTTCCAAACATTGCTGACGGCTTTTATAATTATCTGCGTATCAATCAGCATAAATTGCTGACATCTTCCTCTAACAATACATTAATTACTTTTAATTTTTGCTTTGTTTGTGGTCCTAGGTTGGTTCATTCTGGCTCTGGATGTCGGTCACCCTCACTTGGTTCTGACCTTACATTTGCTACCAGGACAGGCTCTCGGCAGGGCATTGAGATGCATCTCTTCAGAGTGGAGACACATCGGGATCTGTCAACTTGGACCAGGATACTTGTTCAGGGTTGCCATGCTGCTGCAGAGCTGATCAAGGAAGTCTCTCTAGGTATAGATTCTGGCATTTCATTCTAATAGTCATTAAACAGAACTGTTGTTATATGTAAAGTAAAAACCATTATCATGTATACCAGACTTAAAATGTTCTGAAATTTGGCAGCTTAAAGTGATAATGATGGGAAGAAATCTGGTTTGTTTCAGCAGCAAAGTTTTTCTAAGCCTGTACATGGCTCTGCACACATTCATGAAACCCTCTGTACAAGATGACAGTTTTACTGTTCATCATTTTAATCTGAATGATAATATAAAAGGGCTCATTTACCAAGTACTAGATGCATTGACCCTCTAGTAGATTTGGAATCTAAGATATGGGTAGATACCCTTAAAATAAGAGTATCTGGCAAAGCTTATGGCTAGAGAAAAGTTTGGAATAGGAGTTTCTCTTCAAAAGTTTCAAGATGTATGCCCAATACTTACTGTAATAATCTAAAGGAATTAATTCTGGTGGTCTCTTTCCATTCTTGAAGCGCCCTCTTGTGGCTAGCCTATCTGAATTGGGGTATGGTTTCATATGTATGTATGTACAGTATTTGTGTATGTGTTATGTGCTGTATATACAGGGTGTCCCCCCAAAATGTATATACACTGAATAATTATAAAGGCAGTGTTTATTAAAATACATTTTATTTCAAAATGTAATGGAATCAGCTGTTAAAGTCTGCTTTTTTTTGGACACCCTGTATGTATAGATATTTCCAGATTGCTTTCCATTTTAATAACAGAGAATAGTCAAAATTAATATACAATTATAGTTTCTAGTGTAGTTTAAATTACTTTAAATATCTTGGTTTTAAGTTAGTTTACTTAATTTTGCTTCTTTTATCTATGATTTTATTTTATAAACCTAGTTTTATAGAATTTATAAAAGGGAAAATGTTTCAAGAACAGAATGTCTTGTGATCTATCCTTCTTTCTTTATTGCTTTTTGAAAGTGAGGGAGCTCCGTGGCTTTAGAACTGCATGAGCAGCATTTCTATGGGTCACCATCTAACATTGGCACAGGGACAGTTTTTTGATGTTGTCAGACAGCGCAGATCTTTTCCATTATTTAGGACCTGCTTAGTATTTTCCTCACAGCCACAATGATGATTCAAGTAGTGACACCAATGACCAGTAAGAACCCACTGTGGATTTTGACCAAAGCCACCACATCCACACTGTCTTTCTCACTCGTCTGTCTCCTGCCTGTTTCTCTGTGGAGTGGTTGGTTGCCGCATTAAGGGCTGTGGGGCTCTGGTTTTCATCTTGACCATAGAATGTGCTTTCTGGGATGGGCCATTCTACAGTTTGAAAGTCTGTGATGCTCTGTGTTCCTGTGGGGAGCCAATCAGGCCAGCACACCCATCAGGCCCTTCACCGGCATCTGGGGTCATCATATCTTCAGGGATCCAAAGAGATATGCTTCCCAAAGAGTTCAGCTTGGATTTTTAACGTTTTTTAGTTTTGGTTTGTTTCTGTGGTGTCTGGCAGCTAAATTTCATATCGCAGAAAATAAAAATCTATCTAGTCCCTGGCTTGCAGTTGTTTAAATAGAGATGGCTTGAGGAGAGGGAGCATAGGGACCGGCTGGTTCCTTATATTTTTAAATAGACAAAAGAAATATTTTTAGGTAATTTTGAACTTTTTTGTTTTCATTCACAGCTATATTTTAACAACTATATTTTAATATTGCCGTTGTAATACTTTCATTTTCACGATTCAGGTCAACTGATGTGCTGTACCGGTTAATCACTTACTCTGTAGCTAGAGCTGTGCCTGATATATTAAACTGGCTGAAGGGAAACCACTCTGATGAAAGTCAGAGTTTCTTTAAAACGTGTGTGTATGTGTGTACATGCACATACTCGTGTGTGCACACTTAGTCTGTTATGTCTTAATATGTGTATGCTTAGTGTGCACATACACATTTGCACATATACACACACATATACATAAGACAAGCATGTCCTTCAGATACATGTTACTACCTTCTCTTCCACTGTGGGAGATTTAGAAAGGTTCATTTAAAATTGTAATTATGGCATGTTGTACCACCTACCCAAATATATGTGGCCTAAAGAAAGTTAGATAGTTGACCCAAAAAAATCACTTAAGCTCTGGTTTTTTATGTCCTATGTGTTTTGGTTATTGATTATCCATTTAGAAAAATTTCAGTGACTACCTACACGATTTGACTAGTAAATGTAATATATGATCTTCATAATGTTCATTTAGTTTTAAACCTTGATTATAGTTACAGTAGAATTGATCAGTGATCCTTCTGGAACGCAAGGACTTTTTTTTTCTAGCAAAGATGAACTTCAAGATGACTAAGCAGAGAATGCAGTTAACTTCCTCGGGTCAATAAAACCATTTCCATTAGTCACAGGAATTGAAAGTATGTGTGTAGTTGTTTGAACTTTAATAAGTATCCTTTTAAAGGCTTAGTTTCATTATACCAATTACCCAAGCTATTAGAGTTTTTAAATCATGCAAGAACTTTTTGAAGATACTTTATATTTCTGGAACTTTGGTGATATGGACTAAAAAGTCATAGCTATAGGTAGCAATTGCATTAATAAATCTGCAGAAAATCTGCAAGAGGAAAAGAAACGTGGGCATTTAAAAGTATTTATATTGTTAGATTATGGGAGTAAAGAATTTGCTGTAACCATGTTCTTCTCAGTTTTGTAGAAATTTTCTAGTCCCTTTTTTTCATGTACTCAGCAGATACTGGTTGAGTGTATTCTCTGTGCTTTTACTGGCTATACTAAAATAAACAAAACAAGGTAGAGCCCCTGCCTTTGAAGTAGGAAGGACAGAAACAGAAAAAACAATAGTACAGATCAGGGTTGTCATAAGCCATAAACGAGATACATGTTATCTCACCCTGACACACAACCCTCTAAGGCAAATTTTATTACCTCCATTTCCAAGACGAAGGAACTGGGTTAGTGTGGCTGGGACTTGAACTGGGGAATTTCTGACTTCAAAACCAGTGCCTCTAGCCCCTGCATTAACCTCTAAATGACTCATTCTTTTTTTTTTAATAATTTCTTTTTTTAATATCTTTATTGATTTCAGAGAGAGGAAAGGAGAGGGAGAGAGAGAGAGAGATAGAAACATCAATGATGAGAGAGTCATTGATTGAGCCCACACCCCGGGCGTGTGCCCTGACTGGGAATTGAACCCCGATCTCCTGGATCCCAGGTCGACTCTCAACCACTGAGCCACACCCAGCCGGGCTACATGACTCATTCTTATGGCCAAGTTAAACTCCTGGTGGCGTATACATTATCGGTTTCTCTTAATTCATTAAATCAACAAATATTTACTGAGTATTAGTTACAAAGCCCTGTTTGTTAATGAGAGTAATAAAAATAAATAAACCTCATGCCTTTGACCAACTAGCTATAAGAAAGGAATATAGTGTCATGTTCTTTGTAACCCTGGGTATGATTAGCCTGATGATTATACTTGATGGACTGGCTTTTGCTATGCACAGTAATGGAGAATGTTGCCACAGTCTTTCTCTGAGAGAGTCCTGAGCAGTCCCGCCAAGTTGAAGCTGCAAAGCCCATTCCTTCTTGGTGGTTCTGAATGCCCAGAGGAGCCCACAAAGTCCTATAGCTGCTAAAGGGTCTTGCTGGAAACATTGGAGCCCCCAGAGCCCTCTTCCCAAGTAACTTACCGCAGAGCAGCAAAAACAGGATTTGCAGGATAGAATTTATTTGCCATCAGGGTCTTTGTCCTTCATGATACACTGGTAACCACCAGCAGTATCTCATTTGGAAAGACACAAAGAAGACACAAGTTGTATTTACCAGTATTCATCTTGGTGTAACACTAATAGATTTATTATTAATTAATGAGCTTTTTTTCCCCTCTTAGCTTAAATTTTTTTTTTTCCTATCAAGGGAGCTGCTTAGAAAGTTATCTTTAATGTATGTCATTATGCTCAGCAATATCCTTGTGGTTTGAAAAAGCCAGTGTCCCTTCCACTTAGCGGATTGTGAAGTAGTAGCCAGAGCAGTAGAAGGAAAACCAGGGCAGGTGGTGACAGTAAGTTTCACGGAAGTCAAAGGAAGAATATTCAAGGAGAGGAATAGGCAGTAGGGGTAAATGTATCAGTTGGCATGATTTAGGGTGCAGTTAACAGAAAACACCCTCTAAAACTACATTAAACATTGAAGAAATGTATTCTCTCACATAAAAGAGAGTAACAAGTAAAAGGAGGGCGGGTGGTATTTTCTCTTCTCAATCATAGTTCTTTTCAATCTGAGCCAGTTTGGTTCATATGCACATCCTGGACCAATGCCAATCACCAGGAGAAAGCCACGCTGTCTGCCCTTGACGTTGAGGTCACCCTTCCCTAAAACACATTAGGAGAAAGTAGAAATCTGAATAAAATTGGGGTTTGGCTGTAAAGGAAGAATAGAGAAATAGAAGCTGTGTAGACAGCCAACAGTGTGCACTACAAATATCAAGTAAGACAAGGGCTGAAGAAGCAGGTCAGATTTAGCGACATGCAAATAATTGGTGCCCTTGGGGACAGGCGGCTGGTGGTGTGATGGCAGATTGCAAAGGGCTGAGGATTGACTGGGAGGTAAAATGTGGATAAACTGAGTGTAGACAGCTCTTTCAAGAAGTTTTGCTGTGAAAAGGAGGAGAGAGGGGACTGGTAGAAAGAGGAAGGTAAGGAGTTGTATAGGAGGTATTACTTTTAATGAGAGAGACTTGAACATTTTTAAAAGTTAATGGAGGGATCTGGTTTAGAGGGAAATGTTGAACATGGCAAGAGGAAAAGAGGAATAATCAGTCTTGTTCAGTTTTTGAGAAGGTGGGAGTGGATGGGACCCAAAGCACAGGTGGAGGGATTGGCCTTAGCCTGGAGAGGGACAGATGGGAGAGGGGAAAGGCTGGGTGGAGCTATGCATCCACATCTTAGCCGTTGAAGTGGGCATTGCCTTTTCCTCCTGAGTAATTTGTGCCATAGACATCCTGGCTTTTACTCCATCCCTAACTGCAAGTGCAATTACAGGTTACTTTTATATTGTTTGAATTTTTAAAGTTGCATCTTACTTGTATAACAGGACAACTTTTTTTGCCTAAGAAGCCATCAGTTAGTCCCATATACCAAAACCATCACTACAAAGAATTTTACAATATAATACTACTGAGAAGCTGGGAGAAATAGCAGAGTTTTAGTTTGAGGATTTCCTGTGAAGTCTAGGGCTGAAAATAATGGATTTTGCTAGGGCCCAAATATTGGTCCTCTTGTCCCAATCCCAGTGTCTTATATTTGCCCAATTAAATAAGGTTAGCATAATCATCAGGAATGGTACCCCCCAAAAAAGCCAGGTATTAATGCTTCAGATCAGTGGTTCTCAGCCCCAACTGCACAGTGGGATAGCCTGGAAAGCTTTTTAATCATTTCGATGCTCAAGTGCTACCTCCACACGTTTGTTTTGGTTTTTTGATTGATTGATTGATTGATTGATTGATTGATTGATTGATTGATTGGAGAGAGAGAGAAGAAAGGAGAGAGAGAGAAACATCAACTTGTTGTTCCACCTATTGATACATTCATTGGTCTGACTAGGGATGAAGCCATCAACCTTGGCATATTGGGAGACGCTCTAACCAACTGAGCTACCTGGCCAAGGCTACCTCCACAGGTTTTAATTCAGTTGAACAGGGCGTTAAAAGGTCCACAGATTATTTGAACCTTTAATAGTTTAAGAACCACTACTTTATATTTTGAAAATAAATTTTAAAATTTAAAATTAAAAAAAATATATATATATATATATATATACACACACACACACACACACACAATTTTGAATGTACTAAAAACCATTGAGTTGTATCCCTGGTCGGTGTTGCTCAGTTGGGCATCATCTCGTACACCAAGAGGCTGCAGGTTTGATTCTCCATCAGGGCACATGCCTGAGTTGCCTGCTCGATCCCCAGTAGGAGGCATGCAGGAGGCAGCTGATCAATGTTTCTGTCTCATCAGTGTTTCTATCTCTCCCTTCCTCTCTCTCTAAAACCAATAAAAACATATATTTTTTTAAAAACATTGAGTTGTATACTTGAAATGGGTAAATTGTAGAGCATGTGAATTATATATCAATAAAGCTTTATTTTATTAAAGCTTTATTTTATTAAAAAGATAAATCAGTTATAATAATTGAAACCTTAAAGGTAAAGTCAGAATTTCAAGTGCAGTGATTCATGATACAGGGAAAGACTCATCAGGGAACTATGTTTAGAATGATTGAGCTTGGATGAGTACATATGGTAAACTCAAGATTCCTGGTTTTATGTGGTTGGTCTGCACATAGGCCTTGCTTCCCCACTATCTCTCACCCCATCCCTGGTCACCACCTTGTCCTTGACCCCTACCCCAGTTTGTGGGTGGGTGTTGAAGTAGATCTCAGCAATGAGATGTATCTTAGGCAAGAGTTGAGGATGTCTCTTTTGCATATTACTTGGTAATAAATTTTCCCCCAAACCCTGAAAGCTTATTGTTTTAATTTTTAGATGAGTTAAAGCTTATAATTAATTTTGGTATACAGTACACACTCTACAAAGTATCCATCGTTGTTTGTTGTACTTTTTATTATTATTTAAGACTCAACTGAAATAGCACCTCTGATAAGGCTTTTTCAATTTCCCAGAGTTAATCCACACCCCCCTCTTCTGTCCTCTCACGGCATTTGGTCCATCTTTCTGTTATAGCACTTCTTTCTGTATTCGTATTTCCTTTTCTTTCTCTCTCACTTGTCTGAACAGAAGCCATCTTTTATTCAGCCTGTATCTCCCATCACCTAACACAATGTCTGGCACATAAGTGCTCAACACAATCCAGTATAGATTGGTTGTAATTAGCCGTCTGTCTTCCCTGCTACCCTGTCAGAGCAGAGAATTTAAAACTATATGAATAAGTGAAATAATGAGCAAACAAACCAATGAAGTAAGACATAATTCACGATTCCACTGGACAGTCACTCTTCACGTATGTTTTCTAATTATTCTGGATCCAGGCTCATGAAGTTGCTTCCCTTTATCTTCAGCTCTGCCCACCATCAACGCACGTTGTACGGGACAGAAGGAACACAAAGCACCCAGTGCTGAGTGCTGAGTGCTGAGTGTTTATCTCCCTCCGCTGATTACCTCAAAAACTGTAGTTTTCTCTTTTAAACTTCAGTAACTGAAGTCCTGAGATTGGCCCTGAATGCTGCTGTTGTGTGTCTTTTTATATTTCTGATAACAACCCTGTTAAGCAAAATGAGTATATTAAATTTTTTACTGACTTATCTATAAATTGAGGTGGATTGTAGTTTTATAGCCATCTGAAAGGATTTTAGTTGACTCAAAACATCAGGATGGTTATAATAAGCCACCTGGACCAGCTCAGAGTTTTGCTAATAATTAGTCCCAGATCCTGCCCTATCAGAATAGGGCCACTTGTCACAGGTGTCTGCCCTACACAAACACACATATGTGCATGTGTGCTGTCTCTGTCTCTCATTAAATCGGCGTCAGAGGCTTATTTATCTTTGGTTCATTTCTCCTGCGACCCAGTATGGGTGAGGTGTGTCCAGTACTTGATCAACATCGCCTCACTGGTTTTTCCTACTACTTAGGGAGAAACCATTTAGCCAAGACTATTAGGCACAACAGCTTTATGGCCAGTTCATATTCTCATTCAAAACTGTCTGGTATTGATTATAAGTTTTAGACTAAAACAAACTCAATTCTAAACCTAAACATATTCAGTATGACCTTTACTTACTCCTTCTCAAAGGTGAGGTAATCATAAACAATATTCTGGTTTGTTTTTTAAGTAACACACACAGACACTGACATTTCGATTTCTTTCCTTCCCTCCTGAGGGGAAACAGTCCTGAACAGAACATTTTAAGAAATCTCTTGCTAGACAAGCTTGTTGAGGGGTTAGTGGCCTGGCTTTGCTAGCTGTGATGGTGGATCTTGCCCCACTGGGAGTGCACCTGCACTGCACCTTTTTCAGCCGGTGCTGCAAGAACTTGGGCAGGCCCTTGCTCTTTGAGCGTTTCTTTTCTAGACTAGAGCTGACCCCTCTCTTCTCATCAGATCTCAACTCCCTTGACTATGCTATATCTTCAGGGATGTTAATAGAATACAATTCTCTTGAAAACTACCCTGGTTGCCTTGATTGGGATCTGTCTGTTCTTTCTCTAACCCCCTCAGCTATTCATTTAGAGATTGTTGCACTGAATTACTTCTACAGGGAGTTAATTTTATCCATGTGCCTCCCCAAGGTTTCCTTTCCGAGGGCAACTAGTGTTTAAAGTCCATTGTCCAAAACTCTCTTCTTTGAGTAGGGCTGAGAATGGACAGTGCCAATATTTATATTATTCATTTTCCTTATTTCCTAAACACACCAGCTGCCTTGACCAATTGGATGTTTTTACACGTCCAGTGAAAGAACCTGTTTAAGTGTGAGCACTTGCTTGTTTGGGAGCCATTCTTTCTGTTTAAGTGACCAAGCATACTCGACTCCGATCCTTCAGATGATGTTTTAAGTTCAGCTGTCAGAAAGCTGTGTTAATTCCCAGGTCTTACATGTACCCCTGTACTGACAACAAAACTGTACTCAAGCGTTAGTGAGACAGGGATTTCCCCAGTCTCTGACAAAGTTTTTTTATCCTATTAATTCAAATGTGTCCTTTGAATTTTATCTCTGATAGGACGGACAGTACAGCTTTTGCTAACGATAGCCTTTATGTTTGATAAACGTTATCTTTACCCTCTTCCCAAAGGCCAGCCAAACCGTTTCTGCCCAGGAAAGGCGCGTCCGCCTTCTCCTCGGTTGTCCCTTCTCGCCCACAGGAAGCTCTCTCCCTCGCCCTCACTGCCTGCCCAGTTTGGCCTGTTCTTTAGCACCTGCTTGGAGTCCCATCTCCCCCAGGAAGCCTTTCCCTGGCTCTGGCCCTACTCAGTTTGGTGGTTAGTCATGTTCTACACGGTCTACTTTGCACAGTTAGGGATTTCATGTTTATGCCTATTCATTATGAGGCCCTCGGGAGCAGGCGCTGAGCCTCTTACTCCAGCGCCACGCACAGGCTCCTGCCAGCCCAAGTGTCCAGTCGATACTCGCTGAATTGAACTGAATCAGGTCGGATGTCAAGGGGAGTTAGGGCCATTTCTTCCTGATCTCAGTCAAGATGTTGACTTGAGTGACCAGAACAAGCCTCGCTTTCGGAGGCTCCAAGTAGGTTAGGGATCACACATTCTTCAGAAAAGATTCCGTTCCGTATTTTGAAGTCAGAAGAACCCTTTTCCACTTGATAACTGAAGTAGGAACTTTATTCATATTTTTGCTTGTCTTCAACAGGCTGCACGTTAAATGGCCAAGAGGTAAGACTCACTGTCCACTACGAAAATGGGTTCACTATCTCCAGGGAAAATGGGGCCTCCGGCAGCATGCTGTACCGCTACCCCTTTGAAAGGCTGAAAATGTCTGCTGATGACGGCATCAGAAATCTCTATCTGGATTTTGGTGGTCCCGAGGGAGAACTGGTAAGAGAGTTTCTGAAAAACATGTTTATTCTAATAGGTATTCTCTTTCTTATTATTGCTTTTTACTCTCTTGTATAGAAATATTATGGGCTGATATTCCATTTTTCTTCAGTTTTCAAGATGCATTAGGTTTGGGTTCTTTTCTTTTTCTTTTCCTCACATTAGGAAATCATTCCCTTTTTTAGAAGTTTTGTTTGAATCTTAGAAAGAAAAAGTAGCCCTTCTAAGAAATAGGCTTTTATAAAAAATAAGATCATAAATACTAAACATATCAAATACTAAATTCTATTAATTGCTATTTAGCAATTTATTGGAATAAGAATTAAAATAGGATGACTTGGTTGCTACAGAAATTCTGCTGATCAGAAAAAAAAAGATGAAGAGCCCAGGCTAGCATCTCAGTGGTTACAGCATTGGCCTTGAGGGTCCTTGAGGGTCTCGGGTTTGATCCCCAGTCAAGGGCACACACCTGGGCTGCAGGTTCCAGTTGGGGCATGTTTGGGAGGCAACCGATCGATGTGTCTCTCTCACATCAATGTTTCTCTCTCTCCCCCTTCCCCCGCATCCACTCTCTTTAAAAATCAATGGAAAAATATCCTCACTCCTTGGGCCAGGATAAAAAATAAATTTTTAAAAATGAAGAGGTATGTGCATACAGCCATGATTTTCTTTTATATCTCCTTGTCCCTTAAAGGAAATATCAACAGGAATTCATGACTCCCCTTTAAAAACTAGAGAAGTGTGTCGAGTGTACTTCAGAAATCATACCTTGTGCTAAAGGAGTAAAATAATGCCTTTCTCTTTTATCAATATTGAGCCAGTAGTTCAGGTCTTATATGTGAAATCTGACGTCCATAGGCAGTCACAACAGGTGTAAATTGGAAAACAGATTGTTGACATTTTAGAACTGAAATGTATCTTAGATGAGAAAACTGGCTAGAAACCTTATTTTAAATGATGAACCTTTGGGAGACTATGGATAGGCCATGGACCAGGGCTTTTCAAAAGCCTGAAGCATTAGAGAAAGTTAAATGCTTTTATTAAATTAATCAGTTATTAATATCAGTTGCCATTTAGCAAGCAAGGTTTTAGATTATCCCTGGCTATTTATATATTTTTAATACCTGCAGGTTTGATGATAAATTTGATACTTATAACTAGATTCTCCATAAAAGTTGTTTTTTTCTTTGCAAGGCATAATTGAGCTATGTCCTATTCCTGGTCTCTGTTATCAGTGCCAATGATTGACGACCCACTCGACTCATGCAGTGAGCCAGGTCTCCTGTTCATCTGGTGCCAGGTGTGCTTAGGAAGGTATAATAGCCCTCCTTACTGGCCTCAAGACTTGTCATTCCCACCACAAACATATATGGGATGTCAAAAACCGTACCACAGATGGTCACCGTTCAGCTGGGTTTACTGTGGTTCCCGCTCAGAAACGGTCTCCATATAGGCTATTCCTTTTTTACGTCCTCTGCTTTTTAGTTCTACCAGGTGTGGTAGAGCCCAGTATACCACCAAGTGCATCCCAGTAGTGGATGTGAAACCTCACACTGATGTTTAATTATAACGCAGAATAGTCTAACTTTCATTTGTGGCTTTCAGTTCCCAAGAGTTTCTGTAGCTCTGGCATATTCTTTATCTATGTTCTTTTTAAAAAGTAGAATATCACGCCTAAATTTGTTTCTTTTACCTGTTTGTTTATGAACGCATCTATATGTGGTCGTAATAAATAGTATCCTTTCTCCACAGACCATGGACCTGCACTCTTGTCCGAAGCCCATTGTATTTGTGTTGCACACTTTCTTGTCAGCCAAAGTCACTCGCATGGGACTGCTTGTATGAGCAGCAAACAATCAGAAAAGAGCCTTGAATGTCACAAGAAGTATTTCCACCTCAAAAAAAAAAAAAAAAGCACAAAAAGAAAGCTCTTTGCTCTCCTCCAGCACAGTGCCTTGATGAGGACCTGACCTGCGAATCACTGCTGACCCATAACCGTGTTTAAAGAAGAGCCTACCTTTCACAAGCTACCTTGGCCAGAATTTCTAGGACTCTAATAAGCTCCAAAATTAAGCTGTTGATGTGTTGTTAGCTTTCTAATGTGGTTTTTAAGTAATTCAGTTTAATTCTTCTGTTAAGAAGGGTGGCTCATTGTTTTTCCTTTTGAACATAGTCAAATATCCAAGAAGTTAGGGTTTCTTCCTGTAGGATTTATTTCAGACTTAGCTTTGATCTCTTGCTTAGGATGACTATCTCGTCCCAGGTGCTAGTTTGCAGCAACCCATGCTTCTTGGCCATTCCAGATAGGTTGTACATCGTGTTGGAGTTTACGGTCCTCACTTGCTCCTTCCACCCTAGGAAGTCCTCTAGTTGGATCACCAAAGCATTCTCCCATCTGTCCTGGCTCTCGCTACGTCCCACCATGGCCGTCCCTCCCCACTGCATCACCAGCTTCGCCCCTCCTAAGTGCTAACTGTAGACTTAGAACTTGCAAGATTTGATTTGCCTGGCCATCCACTCCCTTTCTGGTGGTGACCACATTGAAAAGCAAGTTGGAAACCACTGTTTTGAAAGAAAAGTTTTACTTGTTGGAGGGTCTTCTGATTTTTATCTTTGGTAGGAGCCAGGGAATATGGTAAGATTTATTTTAAAAGAAAATCCTCACTCTATTTTTCCCCCATCAATTAAATATAATTGATATTTACTTTAATGAGAAAATCCTCATTTTAGCCTAAGCCATTTTTTATTGCTTACCAAATGTGCCTTTGGTTAGGGCTAGGAGCTTTATTAGCCACTATTTGAATAACTGGATATCACTGCCATTCCAGGGAGGTCATCTGTCCTAGTTTTGAAGAACAGTCTTTGAGGCAGGTTTCCTTAGTGGCATCTTCTCTGATAGGCAGATATCTTTGAGGAAGATAAATCCTGGAGAGCAAGCTTGTCTCAAGAGGAGAATCTGTGGATGAAGCCAGCTTTGCAACACAAACAAAATGTTGAGTTGCTCTGGGCTTTGTGCACCCATGTGGGATCCTGGCCCTGGCATCTCCCCTTGTGGCAGCAGAGTGGCGTGGACGAGCAGCTGCTAATCAAGACTCAGTGTAGCTTAGTAACACATCCTACAGTGAACAGGGTGACGACATCGTGGGTTTTGCTAAGCATTGCCAGATGTCATCTTTAGGACACGTTAGCAGTAAGACTGCTGGTTTCATGGAGAGAACACATTCAGCATGTTATTTCTAATATGAAGGAGGTGTATATCTGAAAACATTTGAAGTAGTATAATAACTATATAAAATGTCAAGATGAGCACAGTCCTTGGAACTGAAAGAAAAGGTAACATTGACTTGGATGTTCTCTGTGTTCTCTGAAGAAAGGTCTGGGTTAGTTCTCATTTACTAGATTTATCAAGAGTGCCATAGAGGATGTGAACACTGCGGAGGCTGGAAGAGGGTGGCACTCCAAGGAGAAAAAGAAGGCGCAGCAGTATGGGCAGCACATGAGCTATTTGGTTTGCGTGCAGACTGACGTGGAAAAGCTGCCTCTTGAGCAGAAAGTTCTAGTCAGACATTCTAACCCCATTGTCCTCACTCCTGCCCTGTGTGCAGTGAGATTAACCACATACAGAGGCTAGGAGAGATGTCTCTTCTCCCCCCACCACTAGTCCCAAAAGTGAATTGTCTGATCCACTTGAAACTGGAAATTGAAATCTAGACTAGAATATGTCTTTCAAGAGCTTTTGTTTTGCAAATTCATAAACCCAAGTTTGGTTCCACCTGGAGTAAGTTTACAAGTTAGGGAAAGAAAAAAAATATCTTGAAGGTACAGCTATGATTTCTGGAAGAAGAATTTGAATACATAAGACCCTCAGATAAGGGAGCTTAGACATTCTTTGCTGTGAGAGTAGTAATCTGAGATGAATGATGTAATCACAGACTTTTGCAGCAAACCATTTGGTTGAGGTTTTCTGTGTTAGTGTGAGAGGCTAAGCCACTGAAAAGATTTTCAGAGGGTTACTTTTGAGCCACCTGCTCATTAGTAATATGAAAAAGTTCTGTAAAAAAGGTGTGTTTAAAATGTGGGCAGGAGAGATAAGGCAAGTGTGCATTTCGACTCCTTTTGTTCAGCCTTAAGCTGTCAAGTGTAGCCCCAAGGTCCATAGGGTTTTAAATATTTAATAGGATCTTGAGTCTTGGAAATGAAGTTGATGGGAGGTTCCTGTGACCACTAGTGCCCCCAAGAGCAAGAGCCCTTGAGCTGCTTGTTTAACATACTTCAACAGCTTTTCAATCACAGATGACCAGGTTGTTCTTCAATTAAGTGTGTTTGAAGTACTTTTTATGAATGAGACAGCCTTGATAAATTCGTGCGTATTTTCAATCCACAGTTGGGAATCTGCATATGAGGAGGGCTTACTGTATCCATTGTTCTACACTGTTTCATGTAAGGGACTTGAACATCCGTGGATTTGGGTATCCATGGGTGGTCCTGGAACCAGTCCCTTGTGGATAACAAGGGACGACTGTAGTTAAGTGTTTGGGGAGTCAAAAGTTAATATGTGGATTTTCAACTGCGTGGGGAGTTGGCACTCATAATCCCCATATTCTCCAAGGGTTAATTTGTACTTTGTATTTAGATGCCAAAATATGGCAAATTATTTTCAAATGATAATTTAAAATGAGCATTTTTCATATTTCACATATTTTACAGAACAGCTAATTTTTCATTTCTTTTTGATTTTGAATTAGGAAAATTATTGAGAATGTTGTGAGCTTCTATGTGTAGAATGTAGAGGAATTGCAGAGTAGTGACCCCTCATTCCAATGGACCACTTTCTGTGCCCCTGAGACCTGGGCTTAGACATCTTCTCCATACTCCACACATATGCCTATAAGAGAAAAGGCTCAGTTATTATTTTTCTGAAAAAGGTAAGTCCTTTTCTGAAGTCACCAAATGAACCTTACCTGGAAATTAGTATCTAATATTTTATATGAAGAAATACTTTAATGTATGTTTATACAGTATTTATTAGATAGTTGTAACTGTAAACTTGCCTACCTAGTAGACAGAGTTTCAGGTTAAATATTGGGACATGTACAGGCAATCAAAAATATTACTTTAAATGTCACTCTCCTATTTTAAAGCTATGTTTTAGCACTTTTGGGGCTAGGTAAAGTCTGATAGTGCCTGTTTTTATCATCTGTAATCTCACAAACTTTGTTACTGAAAATTATTGCATGGCAGGAGAGATTGAATTATTTATTTCTTATATTTTTATAAGTGGAAAAATCTCTCTAACCAACAAATGATAAAAGTTGTTACTGATTTGTTTTCTTAACCTCCTAAGCAGAATGGTAACAAAGCTTTCTTTTCAGCTGATTAAATGCACTTAGCTAATAAACCAAAATTTGTTCTTTAAAAAAAATTGAGCTGTGTGGAATCTGGATAAGATTATGTTTCTCCCAGAAAGACAAGTTTTACTGTAAATGCTTTTGATGGACAAAAGTGTGACCACTTTTTAAGAAAAGGTTATGATGATTTGTTTTTTTAAAAAATTTCTGAGAACCTCCAGGTCTTCGTGTTTAATTTATATGCATGTGGATAATTTGTATGTTTTCAAAAACATAGAAGAATCTCCATATTTTTTAATGCAAATTTTATCTTGTAAGCTGCTATGCAAATTGTATTAAAAGCCCTACCTACTTAAAGAGTTTAACATTTTCGAAGCTTTCAGGGAAGACCTGTAGACGTAAGCACTTTCTCTGCTTTTTTTGTATCTTATCTTGGATACTTACGCTGAATTATGTTATTGTTTTCACTGGTTATAAGCTATTGATTGTACATAATATGTAAACCATCCAAATATCCAGCATACGTTTCCATGTCGCTGCCATCCACTATTGACACCATGAATGAAATGGCTGGTTAGAAAGCCAAAGGTTGTGTTTTTTCCATCCTTAATGAAGAAGTAAAATACCAGATCTCTTTGGTCTCAAAACATTGTTCTGGTCTGATCTGACCATCTGTGTAAGAAAAGAGACTTATTTAAATTTGGGATGCTTAAACTTTTAAGTTGAATTTGACTATAGTCATATTCTGTTTATATATCCTTATCAGGTATATTATGTGGCAGGTGATACTATATTCTACCTTGAGTTTGGAAATTTCTTTCAGTTAAGTTTGAATTGTTATAGTGGCTGCTGAAGATGAAAGCAAAGGAATCTGCCATTGCTACTATTCTCTCTCTGTGTCCCGACTTTAATTGCTCAGAAATCTAGAATTATTTTCACTTTCTGTATACTGTCTTTAAAAGCAGACAGCAGCAGTCTTCCCCCTCCCTCTCCCCTTTTTAAGCTACATCTTTGTGCTGAGTATATAGACACCCGATAAATGTGTGATGATAGACTGTTCTAAAATAATTATGCTTTATATCAAGATGATGTTTTCTTGAGCAGTATAGCTTATTCCTATGGAGAGATTTATTTTACTCTAGTAATAGACTGCTTACGTGGCTGATTTGAAACCCTTTCTCTAAAGAACAAAAACATCTGGCAGATAAGCACTTCCAGTTCATCCTATTAAAGGATCGAATCCCAAGTCAAGGTAAGGTACAGGAAATAGGCACGTAGAGCATATCTGTTCCCTTATCTCTCTTTGACACCAGCTAAACTGCCAACTGGAAGAATGATTGTTGTATATTAACGAGAAGAAATATTTTAACAAGATTTCTTCTGTTGTTTCAAAGCTGATAAACTTGAACTTAATGTTGTGCCACTTACTCCTTTCCCCTGCAGGTGGCTGAACCAAAGCATAGTTTGGTTTTTAAAGTGAATCTACATTTGGTATAATACATAAATATGCTATTTCCAAATGACTGCTTCTTCTCCAGTGAGCACTTGGTTATAGTCAGCAAAAATCTACCATATGAACGCTGAGCCTTGAATTCCTCAGAACAGATTAGTCGAAACTAAAAAGCTATAATTTATTGATACTTTGCTATACAGGAGTGGACAGAAGTAGATTTACAGTTGTTCGTATGAGAAATAATATAAATAATAATAGAAGCTTAGCCCTGGCCAGGTGGCTCCGTTGGTTGGAGTGTCGCCCTATACGCCAAAAGCCTGTGAGTTCAGTTCCTGGTCAGGGCACATCCCTAGGTTGCGGGTTCAATCCCCAGACAGGGTGCATATGGGACGCAACCGGTCCATGTTTTTCTCACATTGATGTTTCCTTCCCTCCCTCCCTCCCTCTCTCTCTTTCTCATTCCTCCCTTCCTCTCTCAAAAAACAAAAACATATCCTTGGGTGAGGATTTTTTAAAAAAGGAATAAACTCTGTTTCACATACTCCCAACTGTAAATTTACTTTTGCCCATCCCTGTATTGTGAGATTAGGTGTCCTGATAGATTTCTATCTTCTGAGTCCTCCAAGTACTTACTCAGTTTTGCAGTAATCTTAACCTCCATGCCATTGACACCAATGCTTTTTTAGTTTCTGAGTCCCTCTGAATCCCAGTCACATACACACCCGGAACCTGATGGTTCTGTCACCTCATCCAAAGTGATAGAAGCCTCTTGTGAACAGACAAAAGTTTCTTTGGAGGCTTGGAGAAATTTTCAAATTGCAGGGCTAATTAATGATACAGTAATTCATGTAGTCTTTCATCTAACAAGCATTTATTAAGGTATGGTTCTTCACAGGCACGCTGAAGGGCCCAGAAGAAACTTCTTGCCCTCAAGTAGCACATAACCCATTACTTCTCGTTCACGCCACACCACCTATTAGTCAGAGGTTGTCACTAACCACTCCATATTTTTACCAAGGTACATCTGAAGGTCTCATCTGGCAAACTGGAAAATGTTAAAAGGTGGCTCGGCCTTTGGTCCACGCCAGCATGAAAGAATTCCAAGCACATTTCAGTAGGCTGGTCTTTTCATCATGTATACTTTTTTAAGTGCAAAATTAAGATTTTAGTTTGGGAGAGAGAACACTTCAGAATATCCTTAGGAAGATAAATCACAACAGCAGTTAAGCTCTGTTGCCCGACGTGGATCAATAGGAAAGTCTTTTTAAAGAAATGCTCCTTTAAACAGCAAAGCTAAATGTATATTTTCATCTACCCCCCATTTCTAAGTTGCCCTGACCAGTTCACTTCCACACTTACACCCTTGAAACATCTCATTGGCTGAAAGTCCTTAAACATGGTAGGTGGAGTATTTCTTCATAATGAGAGATCAAAATGAAGGTATTTAAAACTTAGTAAAATACCATTTATCCCAGACACTCTGGCATTCAAACTCAGTAAAAAGGGCACCTAAAGAAAATGAAAGATGGTTAGAATGTTTCCATATTTTTTGTATAGTAACCGTCCTTTTCGATCCAACTTGCCTTCCACTTATCACTAGGGTCAGCCTTTCAGGTAACATCCTTCGTCGTGCTCAGAAAGTACCTGAACTATGTGATTGGAGTGGCGTAACAGACTCTCATGGGCTCCTTCCCCTTTGTTTTCAAACGTCCTGGAGTTGTGCACACAAATTAGGTCATGCCTCCAGTGTCTTGGTCTTTCCTTTAAACCTACCCTTTGACAATCAGGTGCTAATGATTATATATTATTGGAACCAGCACATAAGTATTGTCATGTAAGTGTCCTAGGTTGGAAGAAGTGCTTTCCTTCTGAGTCCTCTTCAAGCGGATGTCAATTATATTTTTACCTGTTTTGTAAATTAATAGAATCTGGGGGAGAGGAAATTATTAAAACTAAGTTCTGCGTTTGGCACAATCCTCAATCTTGATGCTACACTTCACAACTTACAGCAAAGCTGCCCTTCTCATGAGATCCAGTTTCAGAATTTGTTTTTGCTCCGGTATGGGACTCCAGTATTAGGCTTACAACCTGTTGGATGGGTTCAACATGATACGACCTTGGTACCCAAAGAATTGTTTTCCTCCTGGTATCAGAGCCAAGGCCTTTTAGAAGAGAATGAGGCAAACTGCTGCCCAGGAAGACCTATTTTGGCTAATCTCTGCAAACTCTGATTAGACCCACTTGTTTGTATTCTGTCCTATACAACTTTTATTTTTTGTTAAGTATTAAGACTTAGAAAGCTAGAATAATACTTCTACAAAGAATTAAAAGTATGTGGTATCCGGGGGGGGGGGGA